TGTGTGTAAGGAAGTCCGCGGATTGGTCCAAACTTAACGGCTCCGCGGACGTTACATTGCGTCACTATACCCAAATACGTCACTATACCCAAGAAGAAAACAATGGGAGCAAGAGAAATCCCCAACGAGGCGTTCTGGGGCAGCATAGACAGGTCTTCTCTGTGTTAGAGTTGTACTCCCTACAGGGTGTACTTTGAGGGTCTTTGACTCTGCAGACCGTTTACATGCATAAAAAGCTACATAACACACAAGGGGACGGGTAATTACCAGAAAAGCATGACATGGGACCTTTAAGTAAAAACACTTATTCAGACGAGACACTAACCATTTTTTATCATATCATAAAAAACGCATCTTCGAGAATTTACAGGTTGGAGCTGTTAGGAGCTGCTAGCTGTATCAGAGCAGATAAGCAGAGCGGCTATAAAAACAACGGTTTTTATATTTACTCACTGCCGTAACGTCAGACACAGGTCTGCACTGCAAGTCTAACCATAGGGTGTTAAATGATAATTCTGCCAGCCGCTTACAGAATATGGAGGTAAAAACCATTCCGTTGCCACAGTAGCTGTAAATGTGTCCAAATAAAAATAATTTTAAACAATGCTGATAATGCTAAACTGGAAGAACATATATGAAAGCATTTGAACCGCAAGTGGGTAAAGGGGCGGGGGTACATGAGGTGAATAGATCAATTAGATGTTCTTGTACCAAAGTGGTACCAAATGTTCTGTTACTTCCCAGAAACAGATGCTATTACTTAGAGCAATGTGACTGTTGCTCAAACTGATGACAGCCTTTGGCAACACCAAACAGACCCAATTTCCATTAACACCCGTCTACCCCCCTTCCTCCCTGTATCCTTCCTCCCTACAGGAAGAAGCACGTCTCCACCCTGCTGAATATCAGAGGGATGATGCGCCAGGCAGAGCGCCAGGAGATCCTCAACATTGTCAAAGACTTTGAATGCAGCAATGCCCTCATGTGCAGGGACCAGGCCCTCTTTTCTGACATCCCACTCACCTCAGAGGTGCACTGCATCAGCCTGGGATTCCTCCGCCTTGCCATGACCGTCTCCAACTGGTTCTCAGAGCACCGCCCGAGGCGAATCCGCAGGACAAGTGTCAGAAATGCAACACCTCAACCTCCCAAGAATATAGAAGACATAACTAAACTTCACAGAGAAGACTAGCTGTTGGTGTTTATGTTAGGAGAGCATTCACAGATATAATGTGAAAATAGTGATGAGATGTACATGCACCTTGACCAAAAACTGATTGTACCAAATATTGATACCAAAAACTTGACCTCAGGTACTGCTCGTACTGTACAGGCTCACTGACTTTCTCCATCTCCAGATGTGCATTTTTAATGGAAATGTGAAACTGACTGTACCATAATAATCACCATGGTTTCTAGTATTTTTATGTCGATCTACAGAAGTAAAGAAAAGTGATAGTCTATTAAATATTCTCAAAATGTAACTTCTTTAGTCTTTCTTAGCCTTGTATTCCCCCAAATCATTGTAGAATCAACTGATAGCAGATGCAATAAAAGAGATCTAGGATGTTCTGCTGTTTAACATGTATTTACCCAACCATATACCCATTCTCTGGTATATAGCCCTAATGTATGTAAGGATGTAGTCGTGTATGGAAATGGAAATGTGTTGAACTCTCACTGTGAATGAAATGGATCTGTTGCTGGAAACATAATAAAAACCCATTGACTGGGTAGACTAAACAGATTCAAGAGCTCTGACGTTGTGTTCAAGTATTGTCTTCATAATGTGACAGTTTTGACAGCTCCTGGAGTGAATATGGTACTATACAATGAATTATATTTGTTTTGCCTACTTCTATCTTTAGGTGTTGTGGCCCCTGAACATAGGGGAGTCAGACACGAAGTCCACAGTTATTTTAAACAATACATACCAAAAGGCACTTTGACAAACAGACGGGGTCCTGCGGGTCTGACGCAGAACTACATACTTCATGCCTTCATTGTTTATCTTAAGGATACGGCAGCTTTGTTCAGTAAACACTGCGGCTGCTATATGACGCTCTGCCGCCGTACAGCATGAAGGGTCATACACCCTGAGGCCAACAACGGGATGTTTTGCGATAAACAAAGATTTCCTGTTGTCCACCGAGGTGCCAACGGATGCCTTTATTGGAGCCAAGTTTACGTTATGTACTAGGAGGGAACTTCCCCTCTGTTCAGAGTGAAGGTGAAGCAGCGACTCTGAGCTGGCTTTTTTCAACAAAATCAGCCAACCTCAGCGGGGATCAGTGTGCACGCTGACCTCTTTGAAGAAGGGCTTGGATCCCAGGGAGTTAAGTTAGTGGGTTTCTTCTTTTCTGAATAACTTTTTATTGTTTTCTAGTTTCCCTCACAGAGGGACATGTACAGTGCATCCGGAAAGTATTCATACCCCTTCACCTTTTCCACATTTTGTTATGTTACAGTCATATTTCAAAATTGATTAAATTAATTTGTTTTCTCAACATTCTACACACAATACCCCATAATGACAAAGTGAAAAAAGTTTGTAAATGATTTTTGCAAATTAATTAAAAATAAAACACTCAAATATCACATGTGCATAAGTATTCACACCCTTTACTCAATACGTTGTTGAAGCACCTTTGGCAGCAATTACAGCCTCAAGTCTTCTTGAGTATGATGCTACACGCTTGGCACACCTATCTTTGGGCAGTTTCTCCCATTCTTCTTTGCAGATCGTCTCAAGCTCCATCAGCTTGGATGGGGAGCGTCGGTGCACAGCCATTTTCAGATCTCTCCAGAGATATTCAATCCGGTTCAAGTCTGGGCTCTGGCTGGGCCACTCGTGGCGGTGTGCTTAGGGTTGTTGTCCTGTTGAAAGGTGAACCTTCGCCCCAGTCTGAGGTCTGGAGCAGGTTTTCATCAAGGATCTCCTTGTACATTGCTGCATTCATCTTTCCCTTGATCCTGACTAGTCTCCTAGTTCCTGCTGCTGAAAAACATCCCACAGCATGAAGCTGCCACCACCATGCTTCACTGTAGGGATGGTGTTGGCCAGGTGATGAGCGGTGCCTGAGTTCCTCCAGACATGATGCCAAATTTGGTTTCATCAGACCAGACAATTTGGTTTCTCATGGTCTGAGAGTCCTCTCGGTGCTCCATGGGGGCTTTCATGTGCCTTTTACTGAGGAGTGGCTTCCTTCTGGCCACTCTACCATAAAGGCCTGATTGGTGGAGTGCTGCACAGATGGTTGTCCTTCTAGATCTAGAATCTCCACAGAGGAACACTGGAGCTCTATCAGAGTGACCATCAGGTTCTTGGTCACCTCTCTGAGCAACCTGATCTCACCAGAATGCGTGACTCCACCACGACTCCTTAACACTGCATTGCGTGGTGGAGTCACGAACTTTGCTACATTTACGTGTCTGCACCACGCAAACAACCCCAATGTAAAGTGAATGAGGCTCCTTTGTCGTGGTGCACACACGCATTTCTACAACGTCCAGCAGTGAGCTTTTATTATATAAAACGTTTTTAAAATCTACTCAGCGAAAGCACCACGCCTGCTGACCAATCAGAGCTCAGTGTGCGGAGGAAATACAGAAAAGCTGCCGTCGCAGGAAAGACGGCCGGCAAAAATCACCGACTGTGTGAACGTGAACATTAATATAATATCACCTCCCATCTTCAGAGCAATCTGACTATTATAACATTAGCGTTAAGAAAGCTTACTTAAATATCTGCCACAACATAAGTAACCGGATCAGAGTAACATTAAGGCCCATTCCCAAACCGCCCCCTACACCCTACCCCTCCGTTTGCGCGTTCACGCGAAGGGTCCGCCATATTGAGGGCTGGTCCAAAGCAATCAGGGCGGAGGCGTAGTGGGTTATAAAAGCCTCCGACAGCGAGTTTCCATGGATGCAGGCTTGATAATCTCACTCCACAGGTGTGCAACCGTTTTTCGGGCATGGAGGAAACAACGTCATACAAATGTGAGTTCCATGTGGTTCTTTTTTTAAACGATAAATAATACGTTGCCTTAACTAAAACATGCCTTTGTGAACATGTATTTATTAATCTACACGTGTTAATTTGATTTGCCAAGATTACATTAGATTTTTATTTTGAAGATGTACAAATCTAAATCGGAATCAAACTAACAACACATGTGTCAATTCATGTATCCATTCACTTACGAAATCGGTTTAAACTTAAGTGTGATTTGTAATTTCAGGGACTGTGGTAAAAACCAAGGCACTTATTGCTTTAAGAATGGAAAAGGATGACCTGTTCTGCAAAAAACGCAATGCTGCCAAAGAAGCATGGGAGTGAGTTATGCACTCAATTCATATTTTGTGCAATGAAAGTAATGAATGTGCACTGTGGGTCATTGCCTTAACACCAATATATATTGTTTAAATATTCTATGATAACAGGTCAATCATTAAGGAACTGGACCTTGGGCAACATGTGTCTCACAAACAGGCCTCCAAGAAATGGGAGAACCTAAAAAAGAAATACAAGGTAAATGGTGTATTGTTATTGTAAAACATGTTTGTTTTTGAAAAAGCTGAACAAAGATTTCTAACATGCATTTGTTTGCAATAGGAACTTAAAAGGCCAAGGACTGGAACAGGGACTGATCAGGGGGAAGAAACCCCTGCAATATGGCCCTTCTTCATGGCCATGGATGAGGCCATAGGTGCAAGGCCTTCAATTAGTCCTCCTGTCCTTGTTGCCTCAGCCTTGGCAAACCCCACAATCCTCTTTGATCCGGAGGCTGCTTCCTGCTCCTCTTCCTTCCCCCCCCCCAAATGTGGCTGATGATCCAGACACCTCACCACCCTCATCACTGTCTGAGGCTGGAACCACCCAGCAGCCCCCCCCCCAAAAAAGAAAAGGTGCTATGGGAGTGCTGGAGTGCCTAGAACGCGAGGCAGAAAAAGAGGACGAACGCCACAGAGAAATAATGCAGCACTCAGAGACATTTCTAACCCTGTTCGAAAAAATGGTTGTCAAAATGTGATTTATTTTTTCCCCCCCACCATTGGCCATTTCTATGTTGATTATTGATGTTACTTAAAAGACTTGTTTTGTTCGCTTGTATTATTATTTGGAAGACAATAAACCTAATTTAACGTACTGTCCTTCATGTCTTCAATAGTGTATAGGATATAGTAAATACAGGTAGACGGGTGATGAAGGTGACATTGCGTTTGCTTGATTGTTAGATGGCTACATTGTTCTGTGTGGGTTTCATAATGTAGAAGGAAAGGTTTTGCACAAAGTAATGTTGTGCACGGAACTAAAGTGTTTTTTCCAAAGTCTGAAGATTAACCCTGAATATCATCATTTTAAATAAAGATATGTCTGTGCGCTTCATAGGTATAAGGCATTAAAATATACATGACATTTACGGTCTTAATTGCTCATGTCAAACACTCAAAAACAAAAGTGATTGTATTAGAAGACCTGTGTTTATTTTCTGAACCTTTGCTCTGTGCTCGTGATTGAATGATCCAAGAGGTAAGGACATTTGTCTCCAATTTGGGATTATGCAGAAAGACAATTGAGGAAAACCAAGTTTGAAATCAACGGTGCACAGGTTTATTTTATTTCACCTCTTTTCTCTAAAGTGAGAAGTGGAGCTCACTAAAACAAACAAAATTAAATCAGGTATGTGTGCACATAATTTCAAAAACACAAGTTAACAGACAACCACGTTTTGCCAAAAAAAACCACAAAAAAACAAAGTTCATTAGATGTAATCGTGCTCTCAGGTGTGGTGCCATTTGGACAGGAGCAGAGAGTTGTGCAGCAATCCTGTTCCTTAGGTGGTGTCCAGGACTTTCCTGTCCACATGCTGCGGCAGGGGGAGGACTCTGGTCCCCATCTTCAGGGGGGAAGGCTTCAGCATCGTCAAGGACATCGTTCATGTCTATGCACAGATTGTGCAGAAATGCACAACATGCAATGATGTCAGGGGCAAAGCTTGGACTGACCTCCAGCGCTTTGAAAAGGGTGTCCCTCCAGCGAGCCTTCATCCTTCCAAATGCTCTTTCCACCACAGACCGAGCCCTGGCATGATGCCTGTTGAATCTGGCCTGCACCTGGCCGCGAGGGACCTTGTAGGGTGTGAGTAATCCCACTGGTTTTTCCAGGCAGGGATAACCACCGTCCCCAAGGAGGAACCAACCAGCTGGGGGAAACAGTGCCTGGCAGAAGATGGGGCTGTTTCGCAGTACTCTGGCATCATGAACGGAGCCTGGATAGCCGATGAAGACATCCAGGAATCTCCCAGTTGAGTCACAGATGGCCTGCATCTGGATGGAAGGAAACAGCTTGTAATTGATGTACTCCTTGTGGTACTCGTTTCCTGGAGGTTTGATGCGAATATGGCATCCATCAATCGCACCAGCAGCACGGTGAAATGCAGGACTCTTTGCAAGCTGACAGAAGCCATCTGCAATCTCTGGCAGCTCATCTGCGGTTGGCAGGGAAATGAGGGTCTTCAGGTTGGCCTTTATCTTCTCGGTGACGTGTTTGATGATCCTGTGGACCGTCGATTTGGGAATCCCGAATGCTGAACCCACCACAGAGAGCGATAGTCCATGGGCCAAGCTGTAGAGGAGAACAAGCACCTCGATGTCTTGTCCCCATCCGTGGTCCTTTGGGGAGGAAAGCATCTGCACTAAATACACCACACTAGATCGCTTAACTCTAAAGTCCTTCTTTAGACAGGCTTCAGGGTTGGCATACACGGCGAGAATTGGGGCAGTAGCATTGAGCTGCATGTAAAGACCTTTGGCCCCCCTGTAAAAACACACACACACACACACACACACACACACACACACACACACACACACACACACACACACACACACACACACACACACACACACACACACACACACACACACACACACACACACACACACACACACACACACACACACACACACACACACACACACACACACACACACACACACACACACACACACACACACACACACACACACACACACACACACACACACACCACACACACACACACACACACACACACACACACACACACACACACACACCCACACACACACACACACACACACACACACACACACACACACACACACACAATTCTTCTGAGACCAAGTCAAATTAACCTTTCCTTTTTTATTCTATAAACTACTGACAACATTTATCTGTGTTGGAATTCTACAGACACTATACAGATATACACGTATAGCTTATAAGGAAAGACTAAATGAATGTATATCACAATATATCTAAATATCTATTTGTATTACACATACAAAGTTCATAGGCTACTATATAAGAAATAAAGTGAAGATAATTGTTGCAGTAGCAATATTGAAATGTTTACCTGCCACTGGCACATCGCTAAAATGCGCCTCAACCTTCTGCGCCTTCTGTTGGATCTTGCCATTGCACCCGCTAACAGGCGACGGATAGCAACGCAGGTCAATGCAGCCGACAGATGTGGGTTGGACACCATGACGTCCGTTTCCGTTTCCTACGGAGAGAGGGGAGGCCGTCCCAAAGCTTGCCGCTGTATTTATACGCTTAACCCTTAATGGAGGGAACTTCATTCAGCTGTGAGTATGCCTACAGACGGAGTTCACTCCGTCACGGAGGGGGAGGGTCGAGGGAGTGGTTTGGGATTGGGCCTAAGTACAGTCCGCGGCATATCACTTCATAATGTATCATATATTTTCTTATCTGAGTCAGCTGAGCCGTATCTGGCCGTGCAACACTCACAGTGTCACATACTGTATGCAGAAGTATTATTTTAAGCAACACATTAAGTTGACGAAACACTCGAGAAAAATGTAATTAAAGTCAGATCCACTCGTGTTTTAGACGGGGCAGTGATATCATAAACCTGTTAATGTATGCATTCAAACACTTGTTCTTTTGCCAGCTGTATTCACCTTGCAGGTGCAGCTATGTGGCTTTTATCCTGGATAAAGTGTTTAAGTCATGGATGTTTAAAGTGTAACTTCTTCATATGTATATATATTATATTATAGTTGACTTTTCATTCAGGAAGTATGACGCTGCGCTGTCAGTATGCTTCTCCATGTTTGTGATTGGTCGAATGCTCCAAATACCACCCCTTTCATGTGAACGCGCACCTAACTAGATAGGACACGGCTGGCTTGAGCGATCCACTTGATAACCCGCGTCGTAGTCCGTTTAGCGAGAGCGCGTATGTTTTGGATTAGGCCAACCGGCTAACTCAAACATATCCTGGTTAGGTTGAACCAGCTTCGTAGTACAGGCCCCTGGAGGTTTAGGCGATAAGAAACACATTGGTGTGTACACATTTAAAATATGTAATTACTAAATGGGTGAAAATCTCTTGTATCCATAATGGGTAGCATTAATATATATACCAAGGCCGTATTCACCATATACATTGGGGGGGGGGACATCCCCGCGACAGAACTCTCAAATCCCGTTGTGAGAAACTCCGATGATGATCTGTTAATGACAGCTGCAACTATCATGAATGAAAATGGGTTGAGATATCAGACAGGACAATATAGAGAATTAGATTCAGGACAAGAGGAGCAGAGTGCAGCGGAGGGTGAAGGGGATTTTTCAGACGACAGCCCGTTGCGAAACTCCCCTCCTCGTATTCCGCCACTCCGTTTACACGATTACCCAGGATCACCCTACGGCAGCAGTTTTCCAAAAAATGTCCAGCGTACAATTATCACGAGAATGCAAACATCTCAGAATAATAATTCTGCTGAAATTGTGACCGCCCCGAAAATTCTGATAGGAGAGGTTCCAGTTTTTAAGCCCTGGACACCCGCTGAGGTCATTGATGTCACTAACCACGCTCCCAGTCCCACTAAAAGTCCAGATGAGTATCTGTCATGGTTGACTAATGTCTGCTCAGTTTATAACTGTTTGGTTCATGATGTTAAACAGCTGATAATCTTAACATACAAAGCAGATTGGCCCACGTGCAGAGACGAGTTTACATTTCCTGAGTGTACGGCCTATCAGAGCATGCGCTAAGACTCACACAGATGTTTCCCAAGTGACGGCTTGTGTACAAAACCCAACAGAAAATGTCCCAGAATTTATCCAGCGTGGGATAATAATGCGGGCATTAAAAGAGAGGGTAATGATTTGTTTGCCATACAGACCTTGTTACATAATTTAATCCCAGAGACAGCTCAAGCCTACATGATGGCGACTCCTGAATGGCAAGTTAAAACCTGGAAACTGACGATCGCCACAATGCGGGCCCTGCATAGGAGCCAGATATTTCTTACCCCCAGAATTGCACAGCTGCTGCAACAAGTGCCTCAAAATACGCAGGCTTATCAGACTGCAGAAAACACACAACAGTTTCAGGGACAAAACCACACACAGCATTATCAAAATCAGGGAAGATCACAGGATTATCAAAATAAGAGCAGACAGCAGCAGAATAAAAATTCAAAAAAGTTGATGCCGTGTCATGTTTGCGGAGCAACGGACCACTGGGCAGGACAGTGTGATAAGCGGTGGGGGGTCCAGCAGCACACACAGCCCCAGCCCTCCTTTTCTCAGCCCGCCCTTCCTCAGCCCCCCCTTCCCCAGCAGCCCAGACATCCGGCATTAATGCAGCCCCCACGGTATGACAGACAGATCCAGGAGCAAAACGGTCAACAAAGTGGATCTAATAGAAGATAGGGGTGCCAGGAAGAAATAGGATCAGATTCACAGCATTTCCCCATTCAAGCAGCAACAATTCGCCTTTCCAATAACCCGCGTGAAGATCCGATTATGCCCGTTGATTTTAGTGGTACGGCTGTAGATATTTTGATTGACAGCGGTGCCACATTGTCTGCCGTGCGTACTAAGGAGAAAGTGTGTGAAGCAACCAATAAGTTTGTTACAACAATGGGAGTTGCTGGAATTTCTATGTCCGAACCCATTTCAGAGAGCACTAATGTTTCAATTAATGGATCAAACGTGCAACACTCTTTCATTATTTCAGATGGAAGCCCGATCAATCTAATGGGCAGGGACTTACTATGTAAGTTACAGGCAACAATACATTGCACTTCAGATGGATTGTTTTTGACAATTCCTGACAGTAAAGTCTATCAGGCAGTCCAATTAATTCAATCATCGCGAGACAACCTTTATTGTTGGTCATTTCCAGATTTCAACATGATTTCTGTTTTCTCTACAACAGGGATTCAGAAAATTGCTAAAATTTCTCCGGTGTGTGCGTCTTTAATGTCTCTTATGCGACCTGTGTTGAATTGTCACTGCACAGCTGCTTTTAACCCGTCAGATGACTATGCGCGATCAGTAAGGGGTTTTTGCAAGAGTTCAGATTTGTTGAAATGCGAGCAGTTCCTGTTTCTGGGACCACACGGCTGTGCTTTACCCATCAGACTCACAACACCCCAGCAGGTCCTCCATGTTGAAAAAACGATACCTCACGTCATGCTGGCTGTTACCCCAGGGAGTAACCCAAAGGAGGTGGGGGCTATGGCAGCCCGCTGCCAGGCTTGGCTGGAAGCTGCAAAAGTTCCCCCCCCCCCCCCCACACACACACACACCTAAAGTAATTAACTTTGGAGAGGAGCATTTTTTGCTGCATCTCGCTGAGCCAATAGCTCTCCCTCAAAGCACATTCCTCCACTTACAACCAAACCCCCCCCACAGAGTATGGCCCCCCCTCAGATTTTTCAGAAGTCCCGGCTACATTATGGGCCAAACACAAAAACCATGTTGGGTTTGTCAGATCAGCCCCTCCACATCGGGTAACACTTAAAGCCAACGCCAGATTGCCAGCTATCAGACAGTACAATTTACCCCATAGAGCCAGTTTGGGAATTGAAGGAGTCATCCAATCTTTGCTCGATCAGGGCGTATTGATCTACACAACCAGCCCGTGTAATACTCCAATTCTACCCATACCTAAACACAATCGCCCTGATGAGTGGCGCTTTGTCCAAGATTTGCAAGCTATTAACGCTATTGTCATTCCGACAGCTCCAATTGTGCCGGACACTAATTATATCCTTGCTTCTCTGCCCCCAGACTCTAAGTACTACATAGGGATTGATTTGTATTCAGCGTTTTTCTCTGTTCCTCTGCATCCAGACAGCCAGTATCTGTTTGCATTTACTTTTAAAGGTAAACAAATCACATACACGCGCCTCCCACAGGGGTTTGTTGAATCTCCTACGGTGTATGCAGCAGCTGTTAAGAGAGATCTGGACACTTTGGTCCTGACAGGAGGTAGTACCTTGCTTCAGTACGCAGATGACCTGTTGTTAGCTTCTCCCAATAAAGACGCCTGTCGCATCGACTCCATTCTGCTCATGAAAAGACTTTCTGAATGCGGACACAGAGCATCCCTGGCCAAGTTGCAATACTGCCAGACTGAGGTCACGTATTTGGGTCACATTCTGAGGGATGGACACCGTCTCCTCTCGCCAGCAAGGATTTGTCTGTTGAACAAAGTACCACCACCTCGCACAAAGAAGGACATGCTTTCCTTCTTGGGCATGGCAAATCATTGCAGACACTGGATTTTTGAGTATGCTGCGATGGATTCTGTCCTGCGTGCTGCCACTCTACAGGCTGCCCCTAACATTGTTCAGTGGTCTGAGGACATGCACACTGCCTTTCAGGACTTAAAGCGAGCCCTCACATCGGCTCCGGTCCTAGGTCTACCTGACTACCATCAGCCGTTTCACCTGCACGTCCATGAGAAGGGGGTCTTTGCAACGGGCATCTTGGTGCAGAAGCATGGCTCTAATTTCCGGCCTGTTGGGTACTACTCATCTCGACTCTCCCCTGTGGTACTTGGTATGCCTTCATGCCTGCGGGCTGTAGCCGCAGTTGCGATAGTTGTAAAACAATCCTCTCCCATTGTACTGGCCAGTGACTGTGTAGTACATGTCCCACATGCAGTTTTGCATATTCTGAACACCTCTGCTACTCAGCATATGACGGCAGCAAGGCGATCTGGTTATGAAGCGGTAATTCTTTCAAGTCCACACATCACTCTTAAACGTTCCCCCCCCCTAAACCCAGCTATGCTGGTGCTAATTCCAGATTTTGAAATAACACATGACTGCGTCACAACGATTGACATGTCTTCTTCCCCCAGAGCTGATATGTTGCAAACCCCTATCCCTAATTCAGATATGATTCTATACACAGACGGGTCGGCGAGCAGGCCGTCTGACACAGTACACTTAGCAGGCTATGCTGTTGTGAATGACTGGGAAGTTTTAGAAAGCCGGGCCTTGCCAAATGGCACGTCAGCTCAGGCTGCAGAGTTGTATGCTCTGCTTAGGGCGTGTATTTTGGCTGAAGGTAGAGTTGCAACCATTTTCACAGACTCCAGGTATGCATTTGGTTTGTGCCATGATTTTGGTGTCTTGTGGAAAATGCGGTTTCTTAACATCGGCTGGTAAGCCTATTCAACATCATGCGTTAGTAGCTGAGCTATTAGACGCTATCCTGCTCCCTGCACAGCTAGCA